GTTCAGCAGTGCCGGGACAGCAGGTTTCTACTAGCTCTCTGTTTTTCATCCCTGTGGTATCTGCTCTCGGGGCACTATCGCTCCCAGATGTCACTTCAAGGTATATCCATACACTAATGAGGAAACTGAGGCTGAGACTAAGTAGCTTGGGCAAACTTGTGCATGGGAACTTAGGATGCAGCTGGAAGCTAACTATAGGACACCCTGCCAAGGAGTATTTCTTCTGGAAAAAACCTTCAGCACAGGCAGAGGAGCTTGCACGTATGTCTTTATTTTCAAACACACACACACACATATATATATATATATTACATTATTTTAAAACAGAATATTTGTGAAGGATATTTTTCTGGTAAAAGCAACCTACTATGTTCCACACAGCCCCCTTGCCTGCTGTTCAGAGATGGTTTGTGCAGGGGAGCTCCTCTTCCCACCACTCCTGAGAGCACCAGTGGTCTCCAGTCTGCCTCCTTCCTCCGCCCTCCCTTCGGGAAGGGGGTTATCGGGCCTTCCCCACCGGAGTCAGTTCAAAGCATGGCTTATTGCTCCCTCCTCTACCCTGTCCTTGTCCTGCAGGGCTGGCAGAGACCAGGATTTGCTGGGGAATGAGCTGTGTGGAACATTGTGCGCTTTGATACGGTGACACAAAGCAAGGCAGAACCAGAGTTAACGGTGACAGTGCGACTTCAAGTATACGGTGAAACCCTCCCATGGGCAGCGCTGGCCCTGCCACGAGGGCCCCGACGTCCCCATGGGGCAGGGAGGGCCCAGCTCTCACAGCAGCAAAAGGGGCTAAAGAGGGAAGGGGGCTTCACACCAGCAAACCCCTGGCTCAGAGGGCTTCCTTCATCCAGGAGCAAAGAGCAGGGAGAGAGCACCAAACACCCCCAGGTGTTGAGCAGGCTCAATACACTTCAATACCCTTCACACTCATCCCTCTGCCATGCAGTGGTTGTAACTTTGGGCCCTGCTGCCTCCTCCAAATGGCACCCGCTCCTGCTTGAAGCAGGAGCTCTCTGGGTGCCCCCTGCGCAGGGCAGGGGCCTGGAGACTGGTGCCACCCGCACCCCTCTCTGCTGCTTCTGGGATAAATCCCGGTGTTCACAGGACACAGAATCCACCCCAGGTAATGGATCCTGGCAGGGGGAGGTGCAGGGGAAATAGCACAAGGCCCTGGTTCCTTTGGCTCCCAAGAGAGCAAACTGGGTGATGCTGCTACGGGTGGGTGCCGCTAAGCTCCGAGCATCCCAGAGAGCTGCTCCTTCCTCAGATACAACCCCACTTTGGTCACTAATCCCTGTGAAATGACATGTCTGCTCAGCGACTGTCCACCGAGCCCTCCCATGATGGTTTAGGGAGCCTTGCTCTAGTGGGAATGCGCTTGGATGCTGTGAACAACCTGTGCTTTCCCTCCCCTTGGGAAGAACTGCCATGGAGGAGCCTCCTCCTGCCTCTGTGTCCTGGGTGAAGGACCTGCTGCTGCCTCCTCTGCTTCCCAGGGGAACAAACCAAAGGCCTGGGGCAGCCGAGCCCCAGCAGCACCAAGGTGGCCGGAGGTGACAGCAGGAGAGCCCTGCGTTCAGGGCATCAATGGGCCAGGTTTTGTGCAGGGTGCAGTATGTGGCGGGTTGGCAATTAAACTGGTCAAAAATGCTCTAATTGATCAGCCCTTTATCCCATCATCAGATTCAGCCCTGTGAAGAAAGTCCGGAATTATTCTAAGAATTTAGGGTTTTTTTTTTTTCCTTAGAGCTCTTGTTTCTGTAGAAGAAACACTTATTTTTGGTAAAGCAGCTGCTGGCTCCCTTCAGAAGCACCTTCTGCATGAAGTCGAGGTGGCCCCAGGTGCCCGAGGTGACAAGTCTGCCCCAGCTCTGCTGTGGGGCCTCCAGGGTCCCCACCCCGCTGGGCCCTCTGGAAAGGGCCCAACTCCTCCCGCCAGCCTCGACTTCTGTGGGGGCCAGACCTTCTCCTGGTCCGCTTCCCCAAATCCAGAGGGGAAGCCCCCACCTTAGCCTATTCCTGAAGCCCTCGGCACCTTCCTGAGCAGCAGCCAGGTTCAGACCCAGTGATATCCCCTTTGCTGGGCACCGCAGAGCCAGGCAATGGGGAGCAGCAAAGCCCGTGGAGAGGAGCACCGAGGCCGACGCAAGGGCTGCTCCTGCGCTGGGAATTCGGCCCCTCGGAGCCAGCACCGGGGTGGCTGCATCTGCAGAGCTGTTGCCATCCAGTGACAGGACACAGAACTACAGAGCGGCCACCCCTTCACATTCCCAGGTCAAGCTTTTCTCCACTTGGAAGCAAATGCCAGGGAGGATTGGCCAGAGAGGTGAGAAGAGTGCAAGGCAACGTGCCGATACCCTGGGACAACCCTCCCTGCAAATCCCCTGAGAAAATGGTTAAAATGGAACCACTTATTTGTTACAGCACCTGTCTGTAAAGTTTCCCCAAGCCTTGATCATCTACCGTAAGGCTGAAAAATGCCTGTTTTCTTGTATTTGATTAGCAAGGTGAAACACCCGGTCTGGAGATGACAGTGAGTTACAAGCAGCATGGCTTTCTGCGGGATCTGGAGTGGCCTCCAAACTGTTAGAGTTTTGGGAACAAGTCAGTAAAGTAGTGAACGAAAGGACACGCTCATGTACTTCTCTCTTCTTTCTTTCCAAAGGCCTCTGACAAAGTCCTGCTGGTGACAGGACCAAGGGAACAGGCTGACTAGAGGACAGCAGCATGTGTGTAACGTGATTGAGAGAAAAGGAAAATAACTAGCGGTTCTCTTTGGTTGTGGCAAAAAGGCTCCATCTGGTGGTGTTTTCACCTGAAGAAAAGGGAACCTGGGGCCATGGGAACTTCTACAGCTGACACTAAGTAACTTAGACAAGTTCAAACCAGAGAAGAGTCAGGAAATCTCAAGATTTTCTGATAAAGACAGTCGAACATGTACCGTGATGGCAAATGAAGCTGTGTGTGCATAAATGCAAAGTAACGCACGTGTAAGGGGAGAAGTGAAATACGTGGGCATGCAACTGCTGGGAGCGTCAGCACAGCCGCAAAACCTGGGCTGGAGATGCGTGCTGCTCAGTGCAAGCGTATAACACAAAAAGCAACCAAAATAAAGCAATATATAGAAGAGGAGTATTATAGCAAATATTTTAATGCCTTTCTAGAGGCCACGGTCTGGGGCACCCCACCAGGAAAACAGATACTGCAGAAACAAGGTCAAAAAGATAAGCATAGGAAGCCCCTGATAGGTAAAGAGGCTGGAAAGTTTGTTTCTCTTAGGTTAAAAATGGACAGGAACGTAAGGGACATGATAATTGGTTTTAAAAAAATATGGCTGGTCCTGCTAAGCCTCTGTAGCTGCAGAGGAAATAGGCTGCCCTGTCACTGGGTTTGGACAGGGCATGGAGTAACAAGCTTAAACTGAAGGGACAGACACTGAGGAAACAATCTGTCCAAGGTAAAGATGAAGGCAGGAAACGCTGACGCGCAGAGGCAGCACTGGAGGTTTTTAAAAGCAGGCTGGGCAAACACCTCTGAGGAAGGTCTTGTTGGAGCGGGGCAGGCGGGCTGCTCTAAAGGCCCCTCGAGCTCCCCTTGGGCTCTCACGACAGTCGTGGAGCAGGTGTCACCCGGCAGGATGCAGGTGGCAGCGGCTCTGCCCCGGCTTGGGGATCCCTGCGCCAGGGATCGGTCGGTTGTGACCGCCCTGTCCTCGCTGCAGCCCCAAGGGCTCGTGCCCTGTCCCCCTGGCCACCCAGGAGCACAAGGGTGCCAGAACAGGGCGAGTTTGACTTAGGGCCAGTCACGGTTTCAAGTCTTACAGAGGCATCTGGAGTAATAAAGTCAGAGATGAGCCACAGGGTACACAGTGGGACTCTCCCCCTGTTTTAGAAAAGTCATAAAGATTTGGGATGGGAGAGGGGCGCCTGCTTCCCTCCCGCTCCAAAGGTCACGTTTCACCTTGTCGTGACCAGCACAAGGCCAAGTCACCTGGCAAAGAACCCCTCCATGGAGCAGCAGCGTGGACAGCACAGCCCTGTCCCTGCAGAGCGCCGGGCCCGTCCCGCCCGGCCGCATTCCGGAGGCCAGGAGCCGCTGCAGGGATGGTGTGGAACTGCAGGGCCTCCCGCTGGCTCGGGCTGGAGGGAAGCACCCCCAGGAGCGGAGGGAAGGGGCCTTGTCTGTGCTGGCTCCGTGTCCCCACAGCGTGTTAGTGTCGGGACCTGCTGGTGCTTCTTGGCCTGC